CAGGAATCCTTTCCCTTCCCAGGAAGAAATTCCAGGAATCCTTTCCCTTCCCAGGAAGAAATTCCAGGAATCTTTGCCCTTCCCAGGAAGAAATTCCTCCTAAAATCCAGGGATTTTCCAGGAATCACTTCCCAGTGCCCGCTCTCCCAATAAAAAGATGCTCCCCACGTTCTAATCCAGCTGTGGTTTAGCCCTGAGAGAAAAATTTGCAATTTTAAACAACTTGGATGGTTCCTCCTCCTCCTCCTCCTCCTGCAGCCTCATCCACGCACAATTCCCAGCTTTCCCTCCCAAAAAAAGGAACTTGTATGGATTTAGAAGGGGAAAAAAAAATTCCTCCTGAAGGCACATTGAGAGCCAGCCACAGCCCGGGGATGCTCAGGGCTGTTTATTCAGAGCTCCCAGAGCCCTCCCAAGAGTTCTTACCCAAAATAGCCCAAAATTCACTGTACAGAACATCCAAGGCCCTATTCCCAAAGAGCCCTGGAGCCACACAAGGGCAGCAGGGAATTCTGTCTGCAGGGCTCAGGGCAGAGCCCAAATCTGTCCCCAAACACAAACCCCGGAGCACAGAGAGGGATTTTGGGGTCAGCAGTGGCACCTATGGAAAAAGGCTTTGGAAAGGCATTTTAGCCACTGTTTGTTTAAATCTGAGAAATGTTCTGCCCATCACATGAGGCTTTATTGATTTTTTTTTTTCCTGTACTCAGGAGCAAAAAAAAAACAACCAACCCAGGAAACCTGTACCCAGCAGACAAAAAAAAATTAAAAATCCAATAAAAAACCCCACCAAACCTGTACCCAGCAGACAAAAAAAAAATAAAATTAAAATCCAATAAAAAACCCCACCAAACCTGTACCCAGCAGACAAAATAATTAAAATCCAATAGAAAATCTCTACCAAACCTGTACCCAGCACACACAAAAAAATAAAATCCAATAAGAAAAAAAAACCCATCAAACCTGTACCCAGCAGATTAAAAAAAAAAAAAAATCAATAAGAAAAAATCTACCAAACCTGTACCCAGCAGAAAAAAAAATTTATAAAATCCAATAAAAAAGCCCACCAAACCTGTACCCAGCAGAAAAAAAAATCCAATTTAAAAAACCCTACCAAACTTGTATCCAGCAGACAAAAAAAAAAAAATTAAAATAAAATCTAATGGAAATGGCATTTCCAGGTTGGAATTACAGGCCTGGCTCCCCAGTCACCTTTTACACCCCAGGTTTTTGCAGAGCTTGGAGAGGAATTGCTGGGCCAGTCTCACTGGGTAATGAGAAGGCAAAGAGCAAAGTGAGGTGGTTGGAGCTTTTATGGCTCAGAGCAAAGATAAACCCACCTCAAACCAAAGATATTTTTACCAAATAAAAGGATTTTTACATTCAAACAAGAAAGCCAATGTTGCAAGTAGAGAAAAAAAAAAAAAAAAATCTCATTAATTTCCACTGCAGAACGAGTCCCAAAATTGAACACGTGGCTACTGACTGTGATGGTTGGCTAGTCACTGACATAACGTGGGAATTCCTGCAGTTTGGATGGGCTGTGTGTAAATATAAAAGGTTCTGTGTGTGATGCTCACTGGCAGCCGTGTATTAAGATACTCTGGAATAAAAAAAAAATATAAAATGGATTAAAACCAGAATTAAAATCAGGACTCACAGCTCTGAGCTCACCCCCAGCTGCTGGAACCTCAATAAAGTGAATTTTGGGAGCTGGCTGAAGCCTCTGTCTCCATCTTACACCTGTGCAGCTCCTGAGGCCAATGAAGCCTGGAGGGGGAGGAGATGAGGCTGATTAAGGCTCATTATCCCATTTGCTAATGATGGCAGCAGAGTGGGAAGAGCAGGATCAGCCGGGCTGCTCCTGGCTCAGTCCCAGCTGGGAATTCCTGCTGCCTCACAGGGCAAAGGCTGGGATGCAGAAAAAGCAGGAGCTCCTGGAAGGCACCTGTGCTCCACTGCAACCCAAAAAAAAAACAAAAAAAAACAAAAACAAAAAAAAAAAAAAAAAAAAAAAAAAAAAAAAAAAAAAAAAAAAAAAAAAAACAAAACAAATCCAACCCACGTGTGCTTGGGAACACCCTGAGAATTCCACAGGGAATTCTGCAGCTCCAAGGGAAAGGCAGCTCACAGAGAACCACCAAAGTCACAAAAATACAAAATAACAGAACCACAACAATCAGAGAACCACCAAAATCACAGAAATACAAAATCACAGAACCACAACAATCAGAGAACCACCAAAATCACAGAAATACCAAATCACAGAACCACCAAAATCACAGAAATACAAAATACCAGAACCACCAAATACCAGAACCACCAAAGTCACAGAACCACAAAAATCAGAGAACCACCAAATAACCACAAAACCACAGAACCACAAAGTCATTCTGGGTGGAAGAGCCCTCAAATATGAAGTCCAAGCACCCCAGCCCTGCCCAGGCCACCACTGATGTCCCCAGGTGCCACCTCCTGCAGGGATGGGGACCCCACCCTGCCCTGGGGCTGTTCATGAATTTTCAGCTGCGTGTGAAAACGCAGGAGCCAAAGCAGCCAGGGCTGGAGGAATCCTCTGGACTCTCTGGGATTGCCCCAGGGAGGGAGGGGGAGGCTGATCCCAAACCCAATAAAACCCCAAACCCTGGACAGAGCCCAGCAGAGCTGCACGACACGTTTGAAGGATGAGAATAATAACATTTAATTCCAGCATTCTTCTGCCTTTCAGCAGACCCAAAATAGCTCCTGAGCCACCAGGGACCTGCTGCACTGAATTTTCAAGTAAACTTTCCCTCAGACGCTTTGGGGTCTTGGCAGTGAAGACACCAAACCTTTTTTAGGAAAGGCTCACACATCCTAAACCTCCTCAAGCACCACCTGAAAGCCTCGTTTAAAGCAAAAATCAGCTTCAAACGGAGGCTCCATGCGGGGAGATTTGGCAAAATAAAGGAGATCCCGTTTGGGGGTTTTTTTTTCAGACCCCTGGGATCTGATTTTGGCCGTGGTCTGGCCCTAAAAGTGCCCCCCAAATTTCCACCAGCATCTCCCGGGCTGGAGGATGAACAAACACGAGGAAGGCTCCACCCGGGGAAAGGCAAAGATGAAGCTGTAGGAGATGAGCTCAGGCTGCAGTGAGGGATGGGAGGATTCTGCTCGGGATCATTTCACTGCCAGGGTTAACCCTTCCCGTGCCAGCAGCACACACCGGGAGCCTCCAGCTGGGGCTGAGGCAGGAGAAAAACCCAACCAGAGCAGGGCTGGGCTGTGAGGAGTGGAGAAAAGCTTGGAGAGGTTGTTGTTATCCAGCCTGGAGCTGCTCAGTGCAAAGAGCAGCAGCTCCATCATCCTCATCATCATCATCATCATCCTCCTCCCACCCTCCCCGGGCACAACCAGCCCGAGGGGGAAGGGATTGAAAACCCTTTTCTGACCAGCAGTGGCTCCCCGGGGGGAAATCTGGGCTCCAAAGGGAGGGAGGAGGATCAGGAGCAAATCCAGGCACGGCTCGAGCCCCACACGGGCTGTTGGTTTGCATTTGGACACGTTCACCTCAAACCTCTCCCAATACCCCCAAAACCCTGCTCAGATCCCCAAAACCCTGCTCAGCTCCCCCAAAACCCTGCTCAGATCCCCCAAAAACCTGCTCAGCTCTCACCTCTGTGCTCCCCAAAAACCTGCTCATCTCTCACCTCTGTTCCCCAAAACCCTGCTCAGCTCTTACCTTTGTGTTCCCCAAAAAACCTGCTCTGTTCCCCCAAAAACCCTGCTCATCTCTCCCCTCTGTGTGCCCAAAAACCCTGCTCAGCTCCCCAAAAACCTGCTCATCTCTCACCTCTGCTCCCCCCAAACCTCTCTGAGTCTCTGTTCTCTTCACACAGCACCCCAAAAATCCTCCTTGGCCGTGTCCCAGGCAGCAGAATTCCCATGGGATGTGTCAGGAGCCACCAGCTCTGCTCCCAGAGCACCATTTAACCTTTCAGGATTTCAGGATATTTGGGATGTTTTAATTTCTGCACTGCTCCCTGCAAGGCCAGCACCCTCCCTGTCCTTGTCACTCCATCCTGCTCTTCCCAAGAATTTCACTTCTCCCAAACTTTTCCCTCTCCACAGGCTCCTGTTTCAACACCCCTAAAAAAAAAAAATAATAATTCCAGCCACCAGGAACAAAATCCCACTGAGCTAAAGGTGAAAATTGAGGAATCTCCTTGGAAATGTTTGGATTTCTCTTCACTGACTGCACCATTCTCGTGTTTCCAGCTGCACAAACCCACCAGCTCCCTGTTTATTTGTATTTTTAGCACCAGCTCAGGCTGTGCAGCCCTGCCAGGGTTGGCAGCTCTGCAAATGAAGCCCCTGGGCTGGGACACGAGGTCACACCTGAGCTGTTGCAGGAGCGCTGCCAGCAAAAAGAACAAAAGCAGGAGTGTGAAGAGGGAAAAAAAACAGGGAGATTAAAAAAAAAAAAATAAATTAATTAAAAAAATAAAGAGCTCAGCGAGTCTAAAGATGCATCCAGCACTGCCAGAGCAGCCAGGGCTCAGGGAAATCAAAAACTGAGGAAATCTGGGAGGGAAATCCACACAGCTTCCAGGAGGAAGGGCAGGAGTCCCCCCCCCCTAAACTGGGGATTCCCACTCAGCAGGACTGGGATGAGCTCCCAAACTGGGAATTCCCTCTGGGAGGAGCCCCCAAACTGGGAATTCCCTCTCACCAGCACCGGGAGGAGCAGGTCAGCCCCACAATTCCCACTGGGATCAGCTCCAAACCCCACAATTCCCACAAGGATCAGCTCCCAGCTCAGGAATTCTCACTGGGATGAGCCTCCAGCCCCACAATTCCCCCGGGATCAATTCCAAACCCCACAATTCCCACAAGGATCAGCTCCCAGTCCCACAATTCCCACTGGGATCAGCTCCAAACCCCACAGTTCCCTCTGGGATCAGCTCCCAGCTCAGGAATTCCCCCCGGGATGATCCCCCAGCCCCACAGTTCTCACTCACCAGCTCCGGGAGCAGCAGGTCAGCCCCATAGACAAACGCTGCCCCCAGGGCAAATCCTGCAGCCACAGGGAAGAAGGAGAAGGCTCCGAAGGCTCCAGACTCCTCGGCCAGCTCGATGGCCGGGGCCAGCAGGGACCAGTAGGACGCTGCCAGCATCACCTGGGGACAGAAGGGCAGCGGTGAGACCCCAGGGCACAGCAGGGAAAGCAAAATTCCCGTTTTTGGATCCATTGGAGGAGCAGGATCCAGTGGGAATTCTGCAGGGATGCAGCAGGAGGACGCTGTGGAAAAGGCCAAGCTCCTGAGTGTGCAGGGTTTGTGGGTTCATTTGTTAGGTTTTGGGGTTTTTTTAATATTTTTATTTGGATTATTGATTTTTTTTTCTATTATAGAGGTTTTATTTGTTTGGTTTGTTTGATGGTAGTATATGTTTTATAGTTATGGATAATTTGAGAAATATTGTTTATGGTTAAATTTATTTGTTGGTTTTATGTTTATTTATAGGTGCTATTCTTATTTTGATGATTTGAAGTCTTATGGGTTTCTTGAGTTAGGAATATTTTTTTTTGCGTGTTGTTAATTTATTTTTTGATATTTTTATTTGTGTAGTTTGATTTATTTAGTTGTTGCTTTGGTGGTTTTTATTACCCCAATCCCTGCCCAGCAGCCCAGGCAGTTCCCTTTGAAAGATGCTGAGAATCTCAGAATGGTTTGGGGCTGGAAAAGAATTTAAAAGAATTTAAAGAATTTAAAACCCATCCACAGTGCCACCATGGGCAGGGACATCTCCCACTGTCCCATCCACTGGCCTGGGACACTTCCAGGGATCCAGGGGCAGCCACAGCAAATCTGGGAATTCCATTCCACCCTCTCAGAGAACAATTCCTGCCCAATTCCTCTTTTCCAGCTCAAAGGCACTCGGGAGGAGCTGCCCAGCTCTGGCAGCACAAGGACTCAGAGCAAACTCTGCCATCCTGAATGCCTGAAATGATAACTGGGAATACTGATAGCAGGACAACTAATAACAGGACTAGGGAGGAGGAGAAGAAAGGAGAAGAAAGGAGAAAGGAGAAGAAAGGAGAAAGGAGAAGAAAGGAGAAAGGAGAAGAAAGGAGAAAGGATAAAGAGGAGAAGGAGGAAAAAAAGGAGGAGAAGGAGGAAAAAAAGGAGGAGAAGGAGGAAAAAAAGGAGGAGAAGGAGGAAAAAAAAAGGAGGAGAAGGAGGAAAAAAAGGAGGAGGAGAAAAAAAAAGGAGAAGATTAAAAAAAGGAGGAGAAGGAGGGAAAAGAAGAATTCGGATTGCTGAATCCGTGCTCAGGAAGGCAGGAGCCAGCAGTCCCTGGGGGGCCGTGTGAATCTGAGCTCACGGTGAGTAAGAAGAACGAGGGTTTGTCATGTCAGGCTTAAGCACGGCTGTCAAACCTCATATTTCAAATGCCACCTCCTTCCAAAAACAACCACACAACCCCAAGGTGGAAACACAGGAAAGGCTCTGGAGAATTCTCTTGTCAGCTCACGTTGAGATCTCATTTCCCCAAGGTAAACTGAGCCCTGCACATCCTGGCAGCACCCAGGGCAGCTCGGGGCTCCTGGGGAAGAGGTGCCACAGCTCTGAGGATCCCAAAGTGAAGGAAAAG